ATCAATATAGAAACAACTTTGACTGGGTTCGATTGTGTGTGTGTGTGTGTGTGTGTGTGTGTGTGTGTGTGTGTGTGTGTGTGTGTGTGTGTGTGTGTGTGTGTGGTCTCAGTGACAAGCTGTGGCCTCGTGTTTGACCTCTATGACTCCATACCAACAACATGAAGCAAAGAGATGAAAAGGGGGAAGAAGTGGTAAAGGGTTTTTAAAAAAAAACAAGGTTATGTGAAAGAGCAAAAGTTCAGTGGGAACCGAGAAAGAAAAGGGGAAATCTAGAGCTTGAGAAGATGATTAGTTTTCTTGTAATCTTTAGATAAACAATTTGTATGACTTAATTCCTCTTTCCTGAGTACCATCAACATAATTTTGACGAGATGTTGCTTTGAGAGAACTACTGAGAAAAAAAAAGGGGAAATCAAGTCTATTAAAAGATCATCTTAACCTTGTAAACTCTGAGTGAAACGCCGAGCAGAGGAAGTTTCCCTGAAAGGCCTGATTACACATATTAATCCTGACGTGACTTTGATGTGTCCGGCTGACACCAACGCACTTTAGGGGTGATTAATAAGAAACGCGGGACCTTTCATTTCAAGCTCTGCATATTTAATTACCTTCATTAATCACACAGTGAAGCTAAACACACATGTATACATGCAGCATGTGCAAATACACACACACACACACACACACAACATTTATATTTGTGTGAAGCATGAAGGTGCTGGTGTGAACCTAGTGTTTATACAGCTCTAATCACACATGTGACTCTGTTTCCTTGTGTCGTTTGCAAATATTCATACACAGCGAATAAATTGTTGATATCGTCCTGCGATTGTTAGCGTGCATTCGATGTCAAATTAATTGAGTTTTAGTCGTTTTAGCTCTTTGCGCTCCGTTTAAAGCAGACTGCAAGTGTTTTCATCTGACCTGCCAATCAAAGGAAGGCAAACCAACACGCAGTTATACTCCCACTTTCTTTATATGCTGATTAATTCAGAGTAAATTCTCATAGAAGCCATACCATGACATAAAAAGAAGCAAAACTCAGGACATTTACCCCCTGACCTCCCTGAACACATAAAACATTATGCTAAAACATAAGGAATCACAGCTAGCAGATAGACGATGGTATCAAAACCTACTTTGAACAGCCGGCAATCACACTGTGACCCAAAACACACAGCAAGTTTTCCCCACTGAATTCTCAGAAACCAGATGAAACATCAGGGCACCAGTTCCTGTTTCTATTCCTCTACCGTGACCGATATATCAGCGGGGGCCGTTAGCAGCCACATGCTGATAAATCTGTATCTGCATTTATAACGGCTCAATTTGATCCTCCGCTCGTTACCAATACAGATATTTGGTGATTTAAAAATCCCATGTTCCAATATATAGGCTATTTTTTCCCCCCTGCTTGCAGACACACGAAAAATAAACCCTTCCCCAGCGTTTGTGACATGAAGGTAAAATTTAGCTGGACTTCACTGCATACGCAAAAGATGCTGCACAAAAAAAAATACAGGAAAATTATTTAATTTAATTCATATGTCAGGAATTATTTAATCAGTAAGGATTTTAATCGGGGCTACATAATCACATTATAATAATAAGTTCCTATAAACGGCCCAAATTACACCCACAGAAAATCCTTGAGCACATCTTTAAAAAAAAAAAAAAAAAGACAACACAGCAAACACCTCAAAGATACTATCGAGGGCTGTCCACGGATGTTCCTGCAGCATGATTTTGTAGAGGGAAGTTAACTGGCATCGATCCTTAACACATCAGACAACCCGAGCAGCAATTTCAGCAGCAGATCCCTTCAGCCTCGCTGTATGACGACACCAGAGGTCGTTCCTTCCTGCTCATCAGACTCTACACATACTGAACTGGACTAACTGCACTCCATCACTTTTTGTACACCACAACGTACATGTGCACCTACAATACCTGTAAAATCCTTTTAGTAACATTAGTGTTAATTTTAACTCTTTATTTATCCCTCCATTTCTACATTTCATTTTATACGGCTGCTTTGTTGTCTGTTTTGGCTGTGTGTACGCTGCTATGACAACTCAATTTCCCTCCAAGATTGATAAAGCTTCTCCAAATGCAAATTTAAGCAGTTCTAAATGTGAGGAAGTTACTCCTTTCATTTCGGCTTTTGGAGAGTGGTTCATGGAGAAAAAACCCTTTTCCTCTTCTCCGATGTTAAAAAAAAAAGGAGACACTCACTTTTTAACTAGTGCTCGTCTTGTGTTAAAGTCCCATCAAGTAGCTTTTGTTTCCTGCAGCGAAGGTAATCACAGAACCAGTTAACCTAACCAGCATGTCTTTGCACCCTGATGCAAACGTGAAAACTTGATTCAGAAAGACTCAAATTCAAACACAGGACCCTCTTGCTGTGAGGGGACAGTGCTAACCACCACTGTGCGAATGCTCTCATTTGTATATATAAAAAAAAACAAAACAAAACAGAAGCATAAACACATTTCTAATCATAACTTTAAAATCAGCGTTGTTTTTCTGCACACTGTCCACGCAATCTGGCGTCTAGACTGGGATGGAAACCTGCAGCGAATGTCCAAGCATTAATGAATGTACGAAACAAGCAGCACAGCACATTCATTATCCTTTCAATTGATCCCCTAGTAAAACTCCTGAGTAATGGCTGAGCTCCCAGACTTTTCCTATGGCTGAAAATACCCTCCCACCGATTCCCAAATACATCCAGGAAATGTGAAATTAAGGAAAAACAAAACAGAACATTAACAGACACATTAGTTAAAATTATTGGCTGTCATTAAGCAACGATTTAATCAAGACATTATTTTTATTTTAATGACACACTTTAATACCATTTCCTCTGTTTTCCAGGCAGCAACTCAACTCACTGCCGCTGTAATAAAACTGTTTCCCCTCAGAGATCCATAAAATTCATCTTATCTTATATAACAAACCCGACAGCAGCAAGAAAGAGAAAAGAAAAAAAAAAGATCTAATTGTAGCAGCGCATGAACTGAGATCCAAGTCAGGAAAGAGTCTGGAGAGCCTTCACCTCACAGGGAAAATCAAATTATACACAAGACACACACGTGCAAGCACATATGTTTGAGAAACACACACCTACGACTGGCCGGATATCCTCCAATACGACGCTGACCTCTGAACTCTGCGTGCACACAAACACAGAGATACAGTGTTCGCACAACCTCGGGGGTCAATTATCATCGGGTGAGACCGAGCGTGAAATGAGCTAATTCTATTTACATGTCCTAAGCAAGGAATACACACACACACACACACACACACACACACACACACACACACACACACACACACACACACACGCAGGTCTTTCTGACAAAAATGGCATCGCCTTGGACTTCAGTACAGACAACTGGGAACGATTAGCCTGAGGCACAGTGGAGAAGAGGAAGGAGAGGAAAGTATAAGATGGGAAAGGAAAGGGGGTGAAAAGAAAAGGTGAGGGAAAGGGTGGAAGGTTGGGATTAAAAAAAATAAAAGCAGTGACAATTGAAGGGAAATGTGGGAAAAGGAATGGAAAAGAAAGAAAGAATGAGGAAAGGTAAGGAATGACTAGGAAAGAAAAGATAAAGGCAGGAAAGAGAAGATGAGCACAGGTGACAAGGTAACAAAGGGGGAAGGAAAAAGTTAAAAAGAAAAAGGGTGGGAACAAAAACAGAAGAAAAACAAAAGAAAAGCTGCTGAAAAGTGACAAAAGGAAGAGCAAAGTAAGAAAGGGCGATGAAAAAAGAAGGAAAATAAGAGGAAAGAGAAAAAGAAGAACAGGTGAGCTGGGGAAAGGAGGAAAGGAACCATTAGGACAGCTGGAAGATGTACATTTAAATAGATGTGATCAAAGGAAGAATGAAACTGGTTGAGTACTGGTGAGGAAGGAAGAAAGGGAAAAGAAAACAAGAAAAATGTAAAAGAGTGAAGAATTGAGGAAATGCAGGTAGCAAGGTGAAATAAGGCAAAGATGGAAAGAAGGAAAGAAAAGAAGAGGATGCAAAATATGAGGGGAGGTGAGCAAAGGAAAGGTAAGGTGAGGACAGAGGAATAAAAGGAAAGGATTCAAGAACATAAATATGTAGAGAAGAGGAGGTGGGAGAGAAGTTAGTAAGGAAGGAAGAGAGCCAAGAAAAGGAAACTAGAAAAACAAGTGATGCTTCTCCTCCATCCTCCCACCTCCATCCCTCCTTCTAACTAACGAGAGACGTTCATCAAAGAGCTCATTAAAATCTACTCAGCGCCTAACGGCTGAACAAATAGACCGAAAGAAAGAGAGCAGGCCAGGTGGAGGGAACGAGGTGAGGGGAAAGGATGGGGACGAGACTGGCGGGGTCAGGCGGAGAGACAGACGACGGGTGGTGGTGAGTAATCAAGAAAGAGGAAGGAAGAGGAGGAAAGCACAGTTGAAAAAAAAACAAACATCTGCTCGTCCCACTGTTCAGGATATGAAAATTCACCTTCAGGTGCTTTCGCACACGCATTAATCTCCGACGTTAATATTTAATCGTTTTTATGTGCGGGAA